CACACACACACACACACACACACACACACACACACACACACACACACACACACACAACCAGTCAATCAGGCTGGAGACAGAAGGCGATGACAGCCGCAGTAGGCAGTAACACCATCATCAGTGTGTAGCGTTTACAATGCCACGCACCCACGACACAAACACTCCAGTGAGGCTCCAAGACCACAGCTGAGACGACCCAGGTGGAGGGAACCCCACGCACACAGAGACGTCTGAGATTTCTGCTTTAAAAACCATTTGAATAGATGCCAACAAAACCACTTACATTTCTTTCCAKTTTGCACCTATTACCCTGCCTCTCACATCATCATTCTGGCTGGAGCTCACTTAATTAGCTCATAATGCAGAGTAAGTTTTTTTTTGGCTGCGGCTGATAGCTGTGTCTTCTCTGCCAGGCAATTTGGCACAAACAGGAGCTTCGCAGAGAGCCKTCCACTCATTTGTTTTTGCTGAACAGCTGGTCATTGTTGATAAATACGGTCAGAACGTTCTCTAATCCAACAAGTCATCGTAGCCTGAGAATCTGTGGAACAGCTCATGTATTAACATGGAAGTGGGCTCACACACATCTGTATAACGACCCTGTGAGTGTGTGTGTGTGTATGAGGTGGATTTTTGACAGGAAAATCTGTGGTTTTGTTTCCATTCATGGTTTTGCCCACAGATTTCCTGGCTCAGGTGTAAGAAAACAAGCTGGAGGATGTGTGGACGTGGCCGCAATCCAAAGCAGCCGCAAGACTCCTTCACATGCAGACACGCTTTAGGTGCCTCAAAAATAAAGACAAGTTCTTCAAAGTTTGATGAGTCAGAACTTTGTCAGACAACAAAAGAACAACTCCAAGCACACTTTTATGCAAAAACGTCTGGACAAAGAAGTGAAGGAYGGAAAGTTAGAATCATCATTCCAACTTCAGCTCTAAAACAAAGTGTATCTAATACAACCACGCAATTAATAAACACATAAGCTGCCTGGGAATTTCTTTAAAATTCATTTTGAAGAGTGTAGACTGTTAACTAGAAAGAAATTCCTGTCAGAATAGTCACTAGAAAGCAGTAATTCAAGGTGAAGGTAGCTTTTAAAAATTCATATTCTATTACATAAAACTTAAAGTGCTATTTTATAATTTCCTGACACTATTGTAACAAAAGAAGTAAAATGTCTTTCAACTAACAGATTTTGTTTTACTGGGTGCAGAGCATCTTATGCACCCATGTGTGCAAACAGCCGACAAGGACAGTCTTTTCTCTTTAATTCTGCCACAAGCACACACTCAAGAGCAGGATTTAAGAGGATTTCCCACGACATTACTTTCAGCTTTCACCACACGGCAGCGGTCACTTCTGTGTGGAGGAGCTTATGGTCGTGAAAATGCAAAACAAATACAATGGTGAAGAGCTGCAGCTAATTGGACAATGGTACTAAAAGGTGTTTAGTTTTATTACTGCTGCACAATGAATTGTGGAAAGCGTGGGGCTCTGCGGATGTCTTCTCATCAATCAGGACACGAGATATGAGCTGACCACAGATGGTCTGGATCTCCTGCTTCATTAAAGCAATTGTCATCTGCCTGCACCACTTTCTATAGTTCTAATTGCTCTAATTTTAATGTTCTTTTTTAAAGAACGCTTTTGTCATTTAAGACTGAACTGGTTTAGAGAATCCATTCATTATATTACAATACACATAAATCTCAAACTTGATCTTAACGCCGGTGAATTACAAATCTGGCTCATGTACTGCTTCTGTAAATGTGATGAACTAGAAAAAACTAGAACAATTCCCAATCATGAAAATCTAACAAATATTATACAAGACGTGAATTATTGAATAATACACATTTAAGTTGAATATATGTGACAGCCAAATGTTAAAAACACAGGGAATAATATTCAAATGCAACTATGAATCAGCAAATACATTAGGAGCATGTCATTTTCAAGCAAAGATCGTCACTAACTGGTAGAGCTCTGCCACCTAGTGTCCACAGACTGTAATTACAACAAGACCGTGAAACACAAGATGAAAAGATGCATTTAAATTTAAAATTAAACGGGGGGACTTACAAAAGGAACCGTGACAGCTCCGGGCACTTATCCTGGTACAGGAGAGAAGCATTCAATAAAAATTTGGCAGAAATACCTGTACAAAATGCCTTCATTGCAAAAGCGTCCTCTAAGCTAATTCGCTAGGTCGAAGAAATTCTACCCCAAAAAACAAGGTTAAAGACTAACTAACAAAGCATTAAAAAGGCTTTGGTRTATAAATTTACACATTAGAGTGTTTTCAAATACACTTGGTGCTGTTGTCCCAAAAATAACACCAAAAAAATGTAATAATTTTAAGGAAGCTGAATAAATATTAGCCTAGCTACTCTGACAAATCCACGCTGGGTCGCAAAGTTCTGACGCTGTTTGCGTTGCATTCTGGGAGATTGAGTTCAACGGTGTTTCACAGTGAAACGACCGGAAACGACAGAAATGTCATGTCCGGAGCKTTAAGTTGACAAAATGTAAAGAAATTCCAACATGATAATAATTATTAGTCAGGCTACTTTAGGCTAGTTGACACTCGAGGTGAATTTGAGCTAAAGTAGTTGTTTAAATATATTTTTTCGTCTACTAATTTCAAACTACAATAAAGCATAACTCTCGTAGCCTACGTTTGTCATGAAGAATAAAAAAATAAAATAAAATATGGGATAAAAAACTAAAACAAAATTTATATCCTTTCAGTTTAATGGATGAGGATAGTTTTGATGTCACCATTTCTTGAACCTGATTGGACGATGAGAATTACCAGCGGTAAACGCCAGTGGGACAGTCTGTTTCGGCATCCTCTTCATGTCAACGCACCAACAACCTTTTTTTTTTTTTTTTTTTTTTGTGAGCATTATCCGTCTGTTTTGGACGCAGGGAGTCTGCTTGAGCATGTATGCGAGGGAATTCGCAGAAAGAACCTGTCGGAGCGAAATTGGATATCTGGATGAGGCAGCGGCGTGGAGGGAGAGAGGCTGGATGAGTGCGCACCTTTCACCGGAAAGAGAACAAGAACCGGCTCAAACACCGAGAACGCAAGGGATGGAGAGGAAGAAGTTATAGGGGCTTGAACTCGCCTTAAAAACAGGGGGATATGGTGCTTGGAAGCGTTTTACGCAGTAAGTTTTCATATTTTTACAGGATCAACATCGTCAAAAAAAAAGTATCATCATCCAATTCAATTATTTCATTCGGATTGATAGTTTGGAATTACATATGGCCATCCATCATACTTTAATTATCARCGTTTAACAGGTTGTACAGCCATTCTTTGCTTGTGTGCGCAAAACGGATGGATGAATGGACGGAGTCATCTGCGATTCTGGAAGGCTATTAAAKCACCGGAGCGTGCTGAGCTTATAGAAAGTGATGGAGCAAGCCAAAGTGTGAGGGATTGCTCCTGCGCTTTGTGGACTAACCC